AACGGTGTAAATTATAAAAATAATAAACGTTATTCGTTCATTGTATCATTTACTTATTATTTAATCAATTATTAGGTTAATTAACATTTTAAAACGTAGGTTAAAATGATTTTGGGGTTGCTCGTGGCGCCATCTAGCGTTCATGGCCGCGAAAGTGCTTGGCTCCGATGAATTTGGTGTCATGGCATGGACTCCATGGCTAGTTGTTACTACCTTGTGTAGTTAACCACTATAGTAATAATAGACAGAACCAAATAATTTAGCCAAAAGCCGGTTCTTCGATCAAACATGTTGCTTGAAAAATTGTGAAAGCACGATGTTGTTAAAAAATATTAAAGCGGCCACGTTCTGTGGTAAAAAGATATTATCTCAGAATAATTTCTTACAAATTCCAAGACGCAATGGTTATTTAATACTGTATGTATATTGTGCAGCTACTTTGCTCGAAATATAAAATTACTTTTATATATCTTACTGTTTATTTTCGAACATGCCGTAATTCAATGCCTGATGGTACTTTAATTTAGTGTTCCAGAAATTGGAGAAGATTTACCAGGGAAATATCCTTTATTGAAGGAAGATAAAAGCCCGGAGTTTACGAATATTACAATAGAAAAATGTGTTGCCGCTATAGGAAAGCAAGCATTGGAATTCGAAGAGACAATTAGGACTGTAGAGAAACAAGTAGAACGTAATCACAGTTTTGTTTATATCATCACTTTACATTTTATAAATGTCTTCCAACTGTTTTATTTCATCAAGATTTTTTTTAGGCACTGACGACGTTACTCCAGAGTTCTTATTTAAAAATGTGTTAGAACCTATAGAAGATGTATATACTTCGTTAAATATTACATGGGGCATTGCAAAAACATTATATTTGGGAAATCAAAGTTTAATGCCAACAAAATATTATATTAGTATTAATGAGCGTGCGAAGAAAGCTACGGCTTATAGATACAGCAGTGATTCAATTTATCAAGCATGTAAAAAGGTTTTGAATAACAAAGAGTCTACCTTAAATGATCAGCAGAAGGGAGTCCTAAGAAAATTCGTACTAGAAGGAAAGTTAAATGGATTAGAATTGACTCAAAGAAAGAAGGATGAACTTTCAGATTTAAAAGTGTTGTTATTTCGCGACATATCGGAATATTCACAAAAAGTGGAGGTTCGTACATGCAGAAAATTTTAGGAAAGTTTGGTATTCGATATTATTGGATATTCTTCTTCGTTGTAGGCAGCTGTACATCTGATGACTTTTACTATAAAAGATTCTGCAGTTGTAAGAGATTTCCCTGAAGAATTATTAAGAGCTATGGTATCGGATTCTACGAAATATCTTGTTGGACCATGGGTATTAACTTTGTATCCCGACGTCTACGAATTGTTCATGGGTATGAAGATCCAGCAAATTTCCTCAAGACAACATACTGATTCATAATAATTTACAATCATAATTTCTTTTTCATTTGTTCGATCAGAGTATTGTCCTGATCGTGTTTTGAGATGGAGGATTTGGGAAGCATACGTTACTAAAGCGTCTGTGTTGCACGAGAGACAAGTCCAAGCGAGTGTAGCATTAGAAGAGATTAGAGGAAGGAGAATGAAGGAAGCTAATTACTTAGGATATAAAACTTATGTCGATTTAAGTATGGAAACTAAAATGGCAGGTAGCATGGAGAATGTTTGCAATATATTGGATACTTTGTTAGCCACAGGTAAAATGATTGTAACTTTGCTCGTATTGACTATGCGACAGTAATTTACTTTTGACTCGATAGCTCGCCCTGCGCAAGAATACGAACTTAAACAACTTCATGCATTTGCAAGCGAAAGAGGTTTGGAAGGTGGACTCCAACTTTGGGATGTAACATTTTGGGCTAGGAAGTTACTAAACTCTCAACACAAGTAATTATAAAATGAACGTCATTTTTTCATTAAATTAAATCGGAACGTAGTATGTATCGTTTATGTGATTTGCAGATTCAAGGAACAGAGTTTAAATAATTATTTTCCTTTACCAAAAGTATTAGATGGTTTGTTCAATCTGGTAGAAATGTTATTTGATATAAAAATTATTGAAGACAAAAGGCCAGATGTTTGGCACAAAGATGTCCGTTTTTTTAGTATCTTCGATATGAAGGAATCGAATAGCGAACCAATAAGTAGCTTTTACTTAGATCTGTATGCAAGAGACGATGAGAAATCGCAGAATTCAGGGTACATGGTACCGATACAGAATAGGAGCAAAGTAAGCGATATGAAACCACTGGCTGCGTTGATATTCAGTTTCCAACCACCTACCATCAATAGGCCTTCTTACCTTTCGTTCAAAGAAGTTGAGACTCTCTTCCGACAGGTACAGCTTTTCGACGCAAACGATGTCTATACTACTATATTTACGTCATTATATTATTTCCTCTTATCCAGTGTGGACACATGTTGCAACACGTATTGACGAAGGTGGATTACGCAGATATTGCTGGACATTCGTTCATAGAATGGGATACAGCGTTCATTGCAGATTATTTTCTCGCCAATTGGTACGTGGAGAATCTCGTTTCTCTTTAACTTCTATAGATACAATAATACAAATTTATTGTTCATGACTAGGTTGTTCGAGCCATCGGTTTTACAAGAAATTTCTGCTCATGAAGAAACAAACGAACCATTATCTCTGGACATGATCAAGATGTTAAAGCACACAAAAACGCATTTATCTGGTTATAATTTGTGTAAAGAAATCTATTGGTCACGATTTGATTTAGAATTGTATTCTAGGTAAAATGAAACAAGATAAATTTATACGATGACGCGTGTGGTAATATGTGTAGCAATAATAATTTCCATCGAAATTTACAGAAAAGATTTTTGGAATACTATCTTGGGTCGCATATGGGATAAACATTTTGTACTTCCGCCACATAAGAAGGACTGTGAAGTTTGTTCATTCCAAACGATTTTTAGCGGAGACTGGGGAGCTGCCTATTACAGGTGAGATTTTCGGAATATACATAAGTAATACATATTTATTAACTAACAAATCATCGTGGCCTTTCAGCAATATCTGGTCTAAAATGATCGCTGCCGATTTGTACAGTGCTTTTCAAGATGTGTCTTATAAAAATAAGGAGCAACTAAAGGAACTCGGCAACAGATATCGCGAATCGTTCCTTTCTGTAGGCGGTACTTACTCCGGACGAGAAAATTTCCGAAAATTTAGAGGGAGAGATCCTAGTCCAAAAGCACTTTTGAAAATGTATGAAATAGATAAGAAGAGCAGTATGCTAGAAGTCAATAATCAAGATATCGACGTCGACTGAAGATAAGTTAATGAACAATGAAATGTAGTTTGTATAAAGACAAATAATGAAGACATTTCATTTCTCGCCTGAAGAGTTTATTTCTAAATGCGATGTCGATGGCTTTAGCATCAAAACAATATCGAATTTTGAATACAAGGTAAAATATTTATTTTAATTTGTATTCCTGTGTATAGATATTATAATCATTATAATATATACAAATACTGACCGGAAACTAGTAAGTAAATAGTCAAAGAGTAAAATGCAATAATTCGTAAAGAAATATTTACAACAGACAAATGTACAATTAAAAGAAAATCGATCATTTTTATACATCACATTAATTGTGTTAAAAATTATGGAATTAGGACAACTATGATGATACAAATAAAAAGAAGAACTATTACTATCCAGTATCCGCACGTACGATCTTTGGCAGTAATTGTTTGTATGTGTTGCGTTCTGTTAACCAGGGATTCATCCGTCGTATCCATATGATTGGCTAAATTATCAATTATTTCTATTGGAAAATAGAACAAATTTCAAATGAATTTTCCGTCTGTAATTTATATATAAATAAAATGAATTTTAATTGTTATTTACCATTGTGATGATCGACTTCGTTACCGATAGTCTGACCAATCTCTTTTTGCCTCGCAATAACTTTGCATAACTCTTCTAAACTTTTATCTTGCTCTACAAAAAGTAGAATAGAAGCATAATATTTGGATGACATGTCATCATAAAGTAAATAAGAGAGGAAGTACTTATCAGGACTCATACCTTGTAAGACCCTGTCTTGTTGAGTCATAAGATCAGCAACAGTTACTTGTGTATCTAAAAGAGGCTTATCGTCGTCGTCGTCATCGTCAGCAGCCCAAGAGGTTGTTCCACCATCTGCAAACGCTGATCTTCCCGACGTAAGTAAACTCGCACGGGACGACGCTAAATTATTTGACCGTGTCTCGTACAACTTTTTCAACTGCACTTCCTTACTCTCCAATATCTCGATTTGCCGCGTTCTTCGTTCTGCCTCGTTGACAGTTCTATACGTCTTCTGTATTTTAAGGAAAATAACATCGTACATTTGGAAAATTACGTTTCACCTTTTGAACGAAAGGATACATGGTCCTCAATTTTAAGGCGTCATCCACTTTGTTTTTCAGCTGTTGAATATCTCGATTGTACTGTTTGAGACGAATTCGTACATTCGCTGATATAATCGCGTGTGCTTGTGAAGCTCTCGGATGTTTATTGCGCGCTGTAAATTGCTCCATGATTTCCCTGAAAAGCTTCTCGCAAGCTTGGAACTCGGCAAACCTGCATAATTTGATTATGAAAAACATATTTAAATAGGAAAAGGAATGACGTTCAAGAAGTACACAAAACAGTGAAGATTAATCAACTTTACCAAGGGTCGCTGTCGTCAATAGAAATAAGCGACATGTTGCAAAATCTACGTAGATCGGATTTACGAAAAGGCAATTATCGTTTCACGACGTTTATATTCTTATCAATCCTTCCGGTTGTACGTCAATTGTCAAAGCCAGTACCAGTTGCTTGATTACTGTTGATATCGTGTGAACACGAAACACCTGCCCGAAACCGATTTATGGTGAAGAATGTAACAACAAAACCATGAGTGAGCGCATGCGTTCGGAACTATTCCCGATGATAATTAAAGGGAACGATATTGAAGAGGGGATTTAACATGAAGTAGAAGGGAAAAAGAGATCGTCCGTGCGAGTGTAAAACAAAGAGGAGTAAAAGGGAAGATTAGTGCGTGGAAGGAGGAAGGATAATAGGAGTAGTGGCAAGACCAGTTATATTTTTATTATCAGCGGTGGCATATTTCGCGAAGCTGTTCGGACGAATGTTTTTGACGTCGTACGAGGAACGAGAAGAAACGCGAGAAAATGTCGGGTAAAAGTGAAACCAGGTGATCCGAAGTGAACGTTGAGCTAAGGGAAAGGATTTTGGCGGATTATACTTGGGCTACCTTTTGGAAGGTCACGACCATCAATAACCGCTGCGTCGGTAGCTGGTTAATTGAAAGTGGGGAATCGGCAGGAAGCTCGATCGTTTGGGTCAACACGTACTCAACAGCACCAAGGAAAAGGAGAACACGTACGAGCGGATTACCTCGAGGGGATCGCGCGTACGCTAAAATCGTTCAAAAAGACCTACGAATGGAGCACTGGTGCGTTCACGAGACGAAATTTTGCGCACGAACGGAGTACTGTTGTTATTGTTGTGCATATTGATTTTCAACGCGCGAGCCATAATCTCGACATTTATTCGATGCATTCCGTGTTGCGAAAACACATTTTTCATTCTCGTTATTATTGCTTTCCCGTTTCCTGACCATCGTTTAAAACGAACGCCTCTTACGCTCGGGATTATCTACTTTTTACTCGGATCGCATTAAACCTTTGCTGTTATTATTATTATTACTGTTATTCGCAACAGCAATTTTTCTCAGATTGAAACATGAGTAGTGCTGTGGCAACAGAATCTACTACTGTGACCTCTGCGTCTGGCAGTATGACATCTACGCCTATCCCAGAGGAAGTAGCTCCAATATTTTTGCAAACAAGAGCTGCTCAAGGTATAGCAGGTGCTTTTGTTTGGCTGGCTCTATTCCTGACTTGTCAACAGGTACTTTCACGGCTTGCCAGTAAAGTGAACTCACGTTAAATTGAGATTAGAAAGCACTATCGGTCTCCAATTTTCTTCGCAGATCTATCAACACTTGAGGTGGTACACCAATCCCACTGAACAGAGATGGATAGTGAGGATTTTGTTCATAGTCCCGATCTATGCAACTTACTCCTGGGTGTCTCTATTATTTTTCAATAGCGAAAGCTATTACGTTTACTTTTTTACTGTACGAGACTGCTATGAAGCATTTGTTATATACAACTTTTTGTCTCTGTGCTACGAGTACCTGGGTGGTGAAGGAAATATTATGTCCGAAATACGTGGGAAGCCCATTCGTTCCAACTGTCTGTACGGTACATGCTGTCTGGTCGGAAAGACGTACACCATTGGTTTCCTTAGATTTTGCAAGCAAGCCACCTTGCAATTTTGCCTGGTGAAACCAGTAATGGCATTCGTCATCATAATCCTTCAAGTATTCGGACATTACAGAGACGGAGATTGGTCTCCAGATGGAGGCTACATTTACATAACTATAATTTATAATATCAGCGTATCTCTTGCCCTTTATGGACTTTTCCTCTTCTATTTTGCTACAAGAGACCTGTTGACACCGTTCGAACCCGTCTTAAAGTTCTGTACTGTTAAAAGCGTTATCTTTCTATCATTTTGGCAAGGTAATGTACATGGAAACTTAAATTCTTATAAATATCATGTGGACTATAGTAATGGATTTGTTTCTGTTGTAGGTGTGTTATTAGCTATCCTTGAAAAAGCAAACGTAATCTCTCCCATAAGTTTGGGCCCATCTGCTAGTGCAGGCACGGTTTCCGCTGGTTATCAGAACTTTTTGATTTGTATCGAAATGTTATTTGCTGCTATTGCCCTGCGTTATGCATTTCCTTATCAAGTATATTCGGCTGGTTGTGTTACCGATTCGAGAGGGAGAAGCGTGACAATGCAAAGTATTAGTAGCAGCTTAAAGGTATGACTCTCGAGTGATTTATTAATCGTATAACAGCAAACAGTATAATAATGCTATTTGTACGTTCAGGAAACGATGAATCCAAAAGACATAATGACTGATGCCATTCACAATTTTCATCCACAGTATCAACAGTACACCCAGTATAGTTCTGGTATGTATAGATGATTTCTTTTTACTACTATGTTTTTTTTATAAATACTATATTTAAAACCTTTGTGTACTTTTCACTTTGTTCGGTGGATATATTTTCATATGGCATGATATATATATATATATATATACATAGAGAATGATGAATCATGCATATGTCATTGTTCGTTTATGTTTATTACTTAAGTCTTACTTGATCTATAGTCGTTACATGCAAATAAGAAAAGTAGAAGAAAATCGGTTAACACTCGAGGAGTATTAAACATTTTTTACCTGGACTTAAGTAAACGAATGGAACTCTAATTATTACGTTGCTTTAATTGTGGAGACTGGCTTTTTATTTCGGAGAAACGTTCATCACTTTAATATGTTTGCATCTTCCGATGTACATACTTTACTGCCAATTATTAGTTTTGCAAAGAGTATATATTTATCTTTTGCAACGGGCGAAATATCTATTCCCTAGTAGATAAAAAGACTACTTATATGTTCAACTGACATGTGCCGGTTAGGATTAAATTCGTTGAAGGCACCTCCTTTTTTTACTGTTTTTCAGACGTTAATACCAACTTGCCGTATGAAAAACTATGAGAACACGTGGCGTCAATAATTTTAATTCAAGAAATTGGACGTGAAGCATTTATACAGTTTTTAGTGGAGATTAAAGAATTCTTCGTACTATAGTTTATCGAGACAAATTTACTTGAAATTTTAAGTTTGAACCGATTCGATGGGCGGGCATAGTGTTCTCTGCTCAAAATACGATTTAAGGTTTATATTAAAACGAGCATACTTACATATACATAAGCATATAATTCATTTACTTTGCAATTAACAAAATCTACTGTACGATAGAAATTAAGTACTTAACAGAGGAGCACTTAGAGTACAGTAATGTAATTTCATAAAGTTTTTGCTTTCTAATAAATGCAAAAGACAAATAATAATTGATTACCATTCTGTGGCAGTATTGTAATTACGTATTATTTCATGCGAATGGATGAAAAATAATTACTCTGGAGAATATAGTATTAATTTAAAGTGCTTTCATAATCTCGAAGGACAAGGCATGTAAATATTTTACGTTTAATTTGGCATGCTAATCTTTCATTCATATTTTTTCTACGTACATGTATAATTGGTAATTATTGCAAAAACTATATATATTTTTTTTTATAACTATGCATGACACTTTCAATAAACTTATAATTTCTGTAGCGATGTTGAGAAAATAAAACAAAAAAAATCAAAACTCTGTAACTTGTGCTGCTAAAAAAAGATTCTATCACGTAACACGTGGAACTGTACATAGCCCGCAATCGATACAGCCAATCAATAAAGCTTCGATTGAAAAAAAAAAAAACAGAAGAGAGCATGAGTTTTCGCGGTTTCGCTGGCTGATCGATGTATCCACTAGTGAACGGCTTCGCCGGCGATAATACGTGATGTAATGTAACAATCAGGAGCGCCCAAAGGACAACGCGGCATGCGGATATCCAGCTTCGATCCGGATGATCCACAGAACATGCCGATACCACCACCACAAAGGCGGCACACTTCTCACCAGCGTGTCGCCACGATTTCGCAAAATTATAACGAGAAAACGATGCTGTTGAGCAGTGACGACGAGTTCCAATAGGTACGAAATAAAATGAATCGTGTACAAAAAAGAAAAACGACAAACAGAAATGAAGGAGGAGATGAGAGAACATTTAACGTTGGACTTCCGTGAATGTAATTTCAAGAAGAAACGCTATGTACGTGTATACCGTTAAATTGATTGTACGTCATTTAGGTAGGAACTTAACTCGCTCATAAAACAAAAAAAAAATGAAATTTGGGCGATGCCAAATTAAGATTGCGCGTCGCATTATAATAGTTCCATGTTACATCCATGTTAATACATGTATTACGTTACATCATGTAAACATAGCATAGAAGATATTTATTTTAATATGCTGAACATGATTAAGGCAGTGTTACCTATAGCGGTGGCTCTACTATAATAACGATAATAATAATGATGATACAGCTATCTTTGTTTTAAAGGACAACTTATGTTTTTTAAAGAAAGGCATTGTACAGTACTTAATGTTTAAATACAGATATGTTGGTGCATTATTTACTGTAATTATACAATATTTTTACACTTTGAACAAACACTATGTATATGTTTATACACAGATATTTCTAATTCATATGAGATTAAGGTAATTTTGCCAGCAAAAAAATACTTATTTTATAAAATACAACTAAATAAGGAAGATACTTTTTATTATTGCACGCGTCCGGAAAAATATATACATACATTATTAACTGAGCCACGAGAATCTTTGCGTCCTAGATTAAAAAATTGAGTGTATATATCGTTAAAATAGAATGTATTTAATAATTCGAGAATTAAAAGGTTTTCCTTCGATATGTTCATTTCATTCGCATACAATGCAATTCGTTATTCAGTATCGACAGTGCAGTCCTATATTAAAAATTCAAACAAGTTTTAACTCGAATCTTAATTATACTTTATTTTCTATACAAGTGAAGAAGATTCTGTGTACATAAATTATATGGTGGAGTTATACTACCACACAAAAAAATAACAGTAGAACAATTGTTAAAGTAAATCACCATTTTCTGTACAGGTAACAAGTAATATTATCTATATTAGAGTTACAATATTTTTCACTGGCGTTCCATCCCTTCAGCAAAAAGAAAAGAATATTCATTAGAATGAATTTACTATCCACACTTGAAGGACAGAACAATCAGACGTATTAATATATTACAATTGAAAAGTTTTATCAATGATCAGTGTAAAAATAACTTAGCACATTTATTGACAGCCGTATTTTGGCAGATTTGTATAAGCGCACACGCGCACTCCCACGCGTATGTAAATTTTCACTAAAAATTACATGCATGAAGTATTACAAATGGTTTCACGGAAATGTTTAGTTTACCAGCCAACCCAATACGTTTCTTCGTTCGTTACAACTTTCCTCCACCCGTGCCAAGGTGATTCTAATTCTTGTTCCAGTAACGATTCATCCTCCAAAACGCTGCTTAATCGTTCCTCCTTTACCGCGCATACCGCTGAATCCATTGACATTTTACGTTTGATTAAAGAAGAATTTTGGACGTCTTCGTTCTCGATATCTTGATACTGTAATTCATCGTCCATGTAAACAACGATATCGCTCTCTTCGTTCGTATACTTGTCATATTTGTCGGCAACGTTTCGTTTAGTTGTTTCGGTTACCTTTTCTCGTTGACTGACATTTTCGTCACTGTTGGTGAAATCGATCGGTTTAAATCCTATAGATCTCAGCCGAGCGATCTTTATATCGTTATTCGGTATATTAACAGGTACGAACGCGGACATTCTTTCAGAAGAACATTTATTCTGTTCCTTTGTATTCAAAATATTATTATCATTTAACGATATCGGAGCATTCTCAGAACGTTGTATATTATACACAGGTTTTCTACAAGCCATATATTTTTCATTAGATTTAAATGTCGAATCACTTTTACTCCCGTTGGCCGATTTCATAGATTCGCACAATTCGGATTTCATATCTTTGAAGTCACCATATTCGATTCTAATAAAAATGTGCTGCTCATTGCGAATATTATTCTGTTTAGAATTGCTCGACTTTACGTTTCTCATTAGTGGCTCTTTAAGAAGGGAACACTGAGTAACGGCATCCGCTTTGTACGGCTTTGAAATTTCGCTTTCATAGCCGTTCTTTAATTCTTCTTCGATCTTCCTGCATTTAGGTTCTCTGTACACAGTTTGTACCAATCTTCGTTTTTGATTCTTAATAAACATTATGTTTTTATTCTCTACAGTTTTTACACGAATTTTTTCTGTAAATTTTGATTTCTTATTATTGTCATCCTTATCAACATTATTATTCTCGTTCTCGTTATTATTGTTACTCAAGAACTGATTTACATCATAATCATCATCGATTTTCGTTGATACAGTAGCCTTACTGTCGATCGTGTCGAGCTTCACGTTTAACGTCTCCGACCCTTTAACGTACCTGCTGTTCTTCCTATTTCTAATGCGTTTGCGATTTGCAATCCTTGCAAGTTTATTCCTGTTCCTGAAGGCGGACTGTTCCGACTTAACTCTGCACGTGCCTAACGTGCATATCCTCGTATCGTAACATTTGTAAGATGATTTCACGCACGTACGTTTGTTATCATTACGCGCACGTAATCTTCTATATCGCGGGCCGCGTATTTTCGGCCCAATTTTCGCGTCTATCAATAAATTTGTAATTTCTCTTCTTTGTTTTTTATGTCCGTGCTTCTTCATTGACGAATCAGTTGGTTTTGTGGTAGTTTTTAAACGCATTCTTGTTTCCTTAGCATTCCCGACGTTCCTTTCGATGTTCCTCGCTGAATTCCGCGGACAATTTGTTTCGCGTTTTTGCACGCGATTCTGTTGTACTTCCTCTTTCGCATCTTTACAAATATCTGTTTTATCCCTTCGAGAGTGCTCTAAGCCGTCCAAAGAAGGTGCAGACCTATTATTAAACATTTTATTATACATCTTAACATACTTCGACGTATCCGGTTTATTCATTGTTTTCCTGGACAACCTTCTGCGCCTCCTGAACTTGTAACACCTTGATGCGGTCGAATCGTCCGTGGCAACTTCAAAATTCGTTCTTTCTTTTTCTTCAGTATTATTTTTCATCTTCTCTTTGATCTCTGACTCGGCTTTCACTTTATTTCCCGTTTGTAACGCTATAGTTTGTTCTGCCGTTAGTCCTATCATATTTCCCATTAATAATTTCGACAAAGGATTATCTTTATTTTTAATCAAATGAAGGATCCTATCTGGCGTCAGTAAATCCAGAGAATCGAGTACCTTCGATTCCTGATCGTTTCTGGATACTACTTTATTTACTGAAGTTTCATTTTTATACATACAACTTGTCATTTTTAACATGTTAGTCGTCGTATCAAATGCGTTTGCAGTACCGTTCGCATCCTTGGAATCATTCGTGATTTCCTTGGGTGCACTGTTGCACTCATATCTATGACATGGGCTTGAATTGTTTGAAGTCGTGTTCATTTCTGCACTAGCATCTTTCTTTACTGGTTCTAATTTCATCGCACTAACGGATGTATAGTTAACGCGTGTAGGGCATTCGTTTGAAGTGGATTTCCCATCGGAGTTTTTACCTTTGTCTTTAATGGGTGAATTCCGATTTTCCATGTGCTGATTGTTTTTGAGCATGTTTAGCGACTTTGCCGTTCTGCAAAACGGTGACGAAGTGTTCTTTTTGGTATCATTTTGTGCACTGTGCGACGAGTCGTACAATCCGGTACGTATAGAAATATTTGTACTATGGGTCTTAGATCCTTGACTTCCAATATGAGTGAACAATTTACTCTCCGACACAGCGGATGTGCTCGGTACGTTCAAGGTACATTCTGCGATAGGGTTTACTTTTTTAAACACATGACGGGTGACTATCGCACTCTCAGAACTGATCCTTCCTTTTTCATTGTTTCGTTTATTTTCGATATACGGAAATCCATTGGGATTATCGTGTGTTCTTTCCTTTTGCGCTACAGAGTCCGAGCTATGCGAATATTTTTTAAATTCATACACATTTGGACCAGAACTCTTTGAGTTATCCTGTACAGGCATGGACGTAGAAGAAACGGTACTCATCGAAACCAGCTCTTTCATACCGCAGGACAATGGCTCCTGATTCATTACGCGCGAGAGAGAGAATTTGTAGAATTTCACGGAATCTGGATTTACGCCTATCCAAAAGCTAGTTACAAGGTATAAACCATCATATCTGTAACCAGTTTTAGGCGCGAACTTGTTAAGCAAATTGTAACTTCTGATTAGTCTCAGTGGTATTTGACTTTCGTAGTTTTTAATAAGAGGATCTATATTTCCATCGAGGTATTTTTGTCCTGTAATAGTCAGAGATGTTCCAAAGTCTACATCCTCGTTTTGATTTGTACTTGAAGTACAAATAGAAGTCACTCCGAATGGTCCGTCTTGAATGTCTTTATCGAACGGATCGTGAACACAATCCCTAGAGCAATCCATACGAATACCCCACCACGAACCAGATGGAAATCCATTGATAGATCCATAAGTATAAATTGTAATCTATCACAAGATATAAAAGAAAATATGCAGTTATAAATGATGAATGCATGTAAGCATAATATCACTCGAATCTTACATTTTTATTATACCAAGAAGGATTCAACTGAGTATGTTCTTTGGTTGATTTTGCTTGACAAAAGTGATTAAGCTTGGTGAACAATCTTTTGTAATCTTTGTTTTTGGTAGCTATCTGAAAATTGTTTGTAAATCAGTTACACTACTGGCATACAAATTTATTCATGAAATACTTACTTCATTTTTATATGATTCCTGTAACATTCTTTCATTTTCTTGAACAGTATTCGCACAGAACGTTAACGGAAGCTCGTTTTTAGCCATTTCACAAAAAAATGTTCACTTGGACAACAAATAACAAACAGAAACATGTATATTTTATGTACAAATAATCAACCACAAACTATCTTTCCATTCGAGTGTATACAATGGAAAATTCTTGGATGTATCGTTAGAAATCCTTTCGCTTAGAACATTCGTGTATCTCACGTTTAATGTTTGATGTTATACAACTTGTTCTTTACTTAAATACTTAGAAATATTCCTTTTCGTATCCTAACCACAATTTTTGTTCAATTCCGTAAAATATACGTGAAGCAAGCTTTTTCTGAAACAAACATGGCGTACTTTATATCCTCTGTTTTATATTCTTTTCTATATTCTGCGTCTACTTCAGTCTACTTTTACTTTTGTAGATATAGGATCGATCGTTTATTGCGTTGTAAATGCAAAATAAATAGGGTTTGTTAATTCTTCACTTTTATCAAATCTCTCCGTATAATAATTTCAATTATTACACAAGAAAAACAAGATGATTGAAACAATAGTGTAGCAGCAATAAAAACGTTATTCCATTATATTTGAAGCGGGATTGGTTGGTTGGTACTTCGACAAGTATGCCTAAATAAATGCAAATACGTATACAATTATGGATGTAAAAATGTTTACTTAAACAATTTATTATGAAGATTCACGTATGGTATGCAACATTGATCCTCAGTTTTAATCTTAAGATAATAAAAAATTTGGTTCGAGAAACTTGCATTTTCCTATTTCAATAATTGTTGAGCAGTGCACGTGATTATCATACAACACATAAATACATTCTATATTATTGGGAAACTAAATGAATATTCACTCTTTATATTATAAAAAATCTTTATTTTTCTTGTAAATCATATTAACGTTAGAAATTTATTTCTGTACAAGTCGTGTCGCATGAAAGTTGTTCCATAGTCACTGGAACGAATGTTCATCCTCTGGACTTAGCGAACATTCCATATTCTGTTGAGTGACAAACATGTTCTGTGCCTTTGTCGTTAGATTTGTCTATTATAAACGAGTTAATACAATTAATACAATCGTAATTAAGTCTTACTAATCACGTGTTTGTACATACCTGAGTTACCGTGGTCGTATTGTGACTGCTGTTTGGCATGCAAACGACTACCAATTTTGGCGCATTGCTTTGCATATGCGTCTTTTGCTGAACGACGTTGCTTTGAGCTATCTTAACTTGCTGTTGTTGCTGTTGTTGTTGCTGTTGTATTGCGTTAGTGTTTATATTCGTTGCGGTCGGCGTTTGAGATCGAGACTGTAAGATGACAAATTTTTGTCCTCCAGCTGTAGTAGGTCCTCCGGTAGTTCTGCCTGTACCAAGCATGATCGTACGCCCGGTTTGTTGCCCAGGACTAGAGCTGGTTACTTAAATAAAAGAGAAATACAAATGAAACACGATCGAACCATAAATACTTGAAGCATTCACAGGAGTGCAATTACCAGCTTGTACTATAGTTTTTCCAGGACACGTAGGACCCTGCTGGCCCGTCGTTAGAGCCGTTGTCGTGGATGCAGTCGTTGCTAAAGTTGCCGGTTGCGTGCGAGCTTTCGCAACAGCTGCACATAATGCAGGACCTATGTAGCCATAATCTTGCTTGTATTCTTCTACAAGATCCGGTGGAGACCGTAGTGTTTTTAAAACAGGAGCCACAGATTTCTATACATTGTAGCAGACATTTTATTATATTAGTCTCTATAGAATAGCATGGAAACTCATTCATATAAAAAGGATATTCACCACTAGTAGTGTCTTTATATGACCTGCTCCATTTTTATCCACGCTCGACAAACCTGGTCCTTCGATACACGATTCAATGCGTTCGGATATCGATTTAATTTTGGGAATAACCAATGCCTTAATGACTTCTGGGCCTAATTCGCATAATCCTTCAATTGCACCGTAAAGCGAGGCCAGTGGAGTCTAAAACATTTCTTCTTGTCATTTCTTATCATTCATGTAGATATTTGACGTTTTCTAATCGCGATTATACCTCTCTACATTTCGTCAGGGCTTGACTAAACATTCTAGTTACTCTAGTTTGTACATTATTGGTAGAGGTGTTAAAATTTTTGCAAATCTGAGACATAAGCCGCGACGCGAAATCACGGAGCGCCCAGTGATTATCTACTTCGGGTCTCATACACAGTTGCCGTGAAACTATACAAGTTGCAATGGATGGTATCAATTCGTGTAGCTACAAGTTAAATCAATATTAATACATATATGGGTGCATCAGGTTTAAATATCAGTCAAATGCATACATATTTTTCCAAGTAAAGACTGGGATTGTCCAAAAGGGCCTTGACCATTCGCATCAAATAAATGAGAAGAGCGAGATGGTTCTGTACGACGTTAACGCGTACGCCTTCCGCAATGAAAGTGCACATCCGTGCCAGCATTTCGTGTAAACCAGGATCAGCTGAAAGGGACTGGAGCGCTTCCGCTCTGCGTGCTTCGTCGGATCCGACGCAAGCCTCGGTAATTTCCTTGTAATACAATTGTTGTTCAACACTCAGTTCGTGCGTCGCTAACTGTTTCACGTGAACAGTTTCTACGTTGCGTAATTTCTGACTCTTGACACCGCTACCCGGTTTCCCGACACCAATATTCTGATTCTTATTCGACAGTTTACTCGTTGGATCGACACTCTCCAACTTTTGCACGTCTGTTATAGAAACAATTGATTCTTAAGTATCAAATTGAAGGGATTTCTTATTATACATTAAATTGAATTATTACCTTTAGATACTGGAGGTGGATTCTCTGGTATTGTAGGCTGCACACCATCTATGCAAAGCCAGTGTGTACGTAATGTGATTTCCAAAGGTAATTTAGGCCATGCTTGGCCACTGGACATCGATATAACTTCGTTCAGATCAATTTCTTTTTCTTCTACGAAATGTAATTCACGGCCACCTCCCGAAGCAAAACGAAATGGTACATGATCCTTGGCAAAAAATCCATACGTAGGTTCGATATTATTTATCTTTAAAGCATGATCTATATCATGCGTTGTCATACGTTGACGTTTACCATGCCTCATAAATTTAGCTGCATCCTGAGGATAACAAGTTCCAAGTGAATGAATAAAGTTGACATAAAAGGAACTGTTTACACTGGAAAATTATTGTATTACATCTGACCTGTATAATTTCTTTCAGTCTATAGCTCACATCTTCAGCAAGATCTTTAGCAGCTTCATCAGGGAAGTTCCCAACACCTATGCTCTCCGCTATCACTTTTATTGACTCTTGGGACAACGTAGTCCCGTAAATGGAATCGTTTTCATTCATTCTTAAAACACTTTGATCGCATTATAAATGAAAGTCGATATGAAATATATTAAAAATTCTCCCTCGGAAATTTATCTATGTACACAATGCATTCTCAAACGAAACTGTACATCTATACTCAACCTTTGTACATAAAACAATTAAAGTTTCTTATGATAATTAACAAACGACACTGTGATATTCATAATCTGTAATAATATCTCCAAAAACGTTAAACGTTGAACAAAACTGCTTAATAACAATATCCGTGACTGCAATTTGCGACGTCGGGACTGGTCGAGATTTCGGCTCGCGGCAAAATGATGTTCCTAAGCCACCTTTGAGAAAAATTGCCAAGCCAGGTACGCGTCTCGCGACCTCTATCAGCTTTATTGACTGCAAAATTGAAATACTGGACAGTATAATTCAAAATAGGAGATCAATTGCCCGAATTGCTTAATCCAATAATCGTGTTCGTCGCATTTACCAGTACAATAAGTGGGTAAAATAAAGATTTCTGTTTATTTCTGTAATAAAATGGAAGTAGAGGAATCGATAAAGAACGATATCGTCGAGAATGTCAGAGAAGAATTAAGAAACTTGATACACATCGAAAGGAAGGAAAATCGTACAAGAACATTGAACAAAAGTCGTGTCACATTAGGGAACATTGTAACAAATTCGTCTTTTACAACAGAATTCGTAGTTGAGAAGGCCAGAATACTTAAGAAGAAACCGTTATCCATCGAAGAGTACAAGCAGCTCCAAAATGCCCTTATTCAGGTTGTAAAATTAATATATACCAATCCAATTCAATAAACAAAATAATGTAATTTTCTTTCATTTACAACAGAGTGAGGAAAATGTGAACACTTTCCTTAAAGTGGATAATATACTGTTTGCCTTAGTACGTGATTTCTCTGGTAACGACCCAGCCTTACAATTATGCGCCATTAGTTGTTCTTGTAATATAGCACTTGGAAATGCTAAAGCTTGTACTTCGTTAACCAAAAGTATTGGACCTTACCTTATTACAAAACTGGACACCTTAAATTATCCTCTCTTGGTAAGTAACTAAACATAGATAAAACGGTATCGCAGAACAAGAATGATTCCTGTTATTATCACAGGACGTTTGTATATGGACAATAGGAAATTTAATTGCTGGAAGTGATAAGACGTTTGAAATTCTAAATGCCCAAGGTTGCTTAAAGTATTTAATATCATTGATGCAGAATTGTGACTATGTAATTATACCTTCGGTCACCTATGCAACTATGCATTATGTTCACGTTGGTTTTCAGAATATCAGGTAAGAACAACTTCCCTTTGTAACTAAATTCGAAATATACTGTTATGTACAGAAATATCTTTTCAGTGAGAATGAAATGACAGATCTTGCCAAGGCTACTGCAAAAAGGAAACTTTCGTTTGAAACTCCTTATTACATTTGGTTATTAGCTCTATTGTCTTCTCATGTATCATGTATCCCGTATTTACATGATTTACTGCCCTCGATAGCTGATTACTTATATCAGAGAGCTGTACAAAATTTCACACGCATAACCGAGGTACGTAACATTACCTTTCGTATCTAGCGTTCGCAATACTGAAGTGATCTTAATGATGTATTTTCTATACAGTCAATTCCAAAAGTTTATGTACCTTAGAAAAACGCATTTCCTATAATTAAAAAGAAATCAGACGTCGGAAGAATAATGCTAATAATAAATAGCTACGTGCTAAAAAGTATAGAAGGAAATATCCAATTAAGTATTGACGAAAGCTGACGAAAAATTTTCTCTTTCAAAATTTCGAAAAATGCTTCAAATAAAAGTTGTTTTCCTTCTAATTTCGATATTTAACGAGTTACGTATGATTATTTGGCATTTTATTGATGTTGACAAAATCCGACAATTCCATCGTCGAAATGGCGAACTTTTGCCAAAAAATTTCGTTTTTCGTCAATAACTCCTAAACCCTTGGAGATACGGGAAAATTGCATAGGACCTTTCTTGTAGATGACGACGAGATCTGCCATTTCCATATAAAACTTTCTTGCTAGTGTCAATAGTTTACGAGTTATTGACGAAAAACGAAAAAACAGTTTTTTGCAAATTACTCGTTAACTATTGATACTAGCGAAAACTTTTTACATGGAAATTGTAGATATCGTCGTCCTCTATAAGAAGGGTCATATGCAATTTTTCCGTATGTCCAACNATTCCATCGTCGAAATGTGTGGCGAACTTTTGCCAAAAAATTTCGTTTTTCGTCAATAACTCCTAAACCCTTGGAGATACGGGAAAATTGCATAGGACCTTTCTTGTAGATGACGACGAGATCTGCCATTTCCATATAAAACTTTCTTGCTAGTGTCAATAGTTTACGAGTTATTGACGAAAAACGAAAAAACAGTTTTTTGCAAATTACTCGTTAACTATTGATACTAGCGAAAACTTTTTACATGGAAATTGTAGATATCGTCGTCCTCTATAAGAAGGGTCATATGCAATTTTTCCGTATGTCCAACGGTTTGGGAGTTATTGGCCAAAAACGAAAATTTGGAAGAAATTGAAGGGATACCCCTTGGAAAAATCTCGGAAAAATCGAAAATTTGTTGTTGTTGTTTATTATTAGCAGTGTTCTTCCGACGTATGATTTATTTTTAAAAAATGCGTTTCTAGAGTGCATAAACCTTTGGGATTGACTGTATAGCCAATACATCCTTAATACAAGCTATTTTTAATTCAGATCACGGCATGCATAAGAGTACTAGCTAATGCTGCTCAAGATATTTCTGGTGAACTGACGATGTTCCTATTAGAGAATCCGAAGTATACGCAATTAAATTTGGAGACATTGTTAAATGCATTACTGTCCTCTCAATACATACATATCAGGAAAGAGACTCTATGGTTAATAGGTAGTAAAAAATATTTCTTTACTATGTTACATTATGAAGTTAATCCTTCTACTTGTACGAATAAAAGTAAATATTTTTACAGGTAATCTTTATAATCACAATTGCATTAGCGTTAAAAACATTTCACAACCCGTTATTTCCCGACTGTCGTCCTTGGAACAAGCGATTATGTCTGTATCTGAGTCGACTATGTTTTTAAACGCGAAACCGATAAACTGAACGGGAACGTGGTGTAAGTTTTGTAAATTGTATTTACATATTTATAACAGTACCAATAATCATAAGCCCGACACGCTTTACAACAATTAATATTGACGGTTTTAATACTTCATTTTGGTAGGAATAAAGTGTCGTCTTAATTCTATGGAAGCATAATCGTTCTGTGGAACATCCTCGATGCAGGAGACCTTGATTACGTTAAAATATATTTCACCTATGACTCGCGCCGTTGGATGCATCGTGGCCTTTAAACAATGGTAGAGCGCCTCGTCACAATCGCAGTGCGACCTGCAAAGGTAAGAACAAGGCCCGTGTGTGTCGCTATAAGTTACAGATAGTTCTTATCAAAATAAACAGATTGTATAAATAATCGATCTTCGTACTTAGTGTACATGGAGTAATTGGTGAGATTGTACCGCGTTTGGCGAGCTCGAACTTTAACGGGACAAAGATCGTGGCTGCGGCAACATCTACAGCAAATAAAACCGATCCATCGTTGTCATTTATTAAAACGGAATTTTCTAACAATCTTGGCTGTCGACAAAAATATTCCTACTGACCTATCGATTTGAACCTCCTGGCCTAAATCATGATAATTCTCAGCGATATCCCCGGTTCCGCACCATTTTGTACCTGTACATGAACAAATTTCACTTCGCATATCTGATGTCACTTGCATAATTTCCAAAGAGAATAAGTAGAGAGCGTGATAAATCGTTACCTGGCAGGATGCCCGAGAGAAGAGACAGCACGCTACTTACGCCGCGACTACTTTTGCTCACGCTGCTCGTCATGGAAGTGGATAACTCGTTCTCCTTTATTCTTTCCAGCAGTTCGCATTGTTGCATAAGACGCGTCATTTCTTGAAAAGATACCAGCTGAGGTATAACTGTTGTCGACAAATTTCTCAAAACCTCGTCCGCCTCGTATGGCTCACTAAACACGTCCGCCCCATTTTTTTATACTCATCACTTTAAAAAGAATTGAACGAGATACTCACTATACTTCGATCAGATTGCAATTTTGGAGTTCGTTATTGTTATCGAGGTCGACGATCGCAACAGTTTGATCATGGTAATAGACGGCTCTGATCTCATTTCTATCAAACGTGTTCTGCCGCGGCACGACACCGTTCAGGCCTTTGAAGGTATTCTTGAAGAAAGTCGGTTGTTGAACGCTGTTAGAGCAGATCGCCACGACCAACAGCAATATCCATTTCAAGGAGCTGACATCCATCCTTGGCACTGAGTTACACTGACCATCTGATTATCCTGTTCGCGTGTTTATATGAATCTTGGATTTTTCATGACGGAAATCGTTAGCGCTTCCATACGACGAAGGGAAAAACGCGTTGCGAAACAATTCTGAATGAGATCGAAATACTGTTTTACTCTGGAAGCGCGACCGTGGGTTTAATTTATTCAAAACCATCATTTCTTCATTTCATTGAATTTATTCTTCAGAAAAACATGCTCACCTTCGAAGAATTATTTTTCTTCGATCACGATCGCAAGGAACGTCGGATTCTTATAAAATGCATAAGAGTGGAAATTTTCGCGGATATTGAGAAATAGGTGTGAGAATGCCAGCGGGTTCCTCTGGGAAATACGTTTGACGTTAATACATGGTATCCTTTAAGGAAAAAGTAAAGTAAAAGTGAATGTCTAAAAACCTTTTCTTGTTTTCTATTCCGTTTATTCGCAACTGCACAATTCGATGTCTGTTAAAAAATGATATCATGACTATATCTATATATAGCTTTCACCCGCATTCGCGTATTCAAATCAGCATTACAAAGACTATTGAGTGGATCGTCGATCGTACCTGACCGGTTCCTTCCAACCCCGTCATTCTTCGAAGTTATTTCACATGGTGGTTGTACCTGCGATCAGCGTCAGAACTTCAGGAGTCAGCAAACTGTCCAATGTGTCCAAACTGTGTATAAACGTTCAAGGTGTTGCTGTGAACGATGCGGCTGGCATATCTATAATGCACGCGACACCGGCTAGAACTAGGAAGTCGACGTCGTCTTCGGCTGCGGCGATTCGATCGAGTCTCACGATTCGAGTTGCCGAAGATCCTTCAGAGAAGTGGCTTTGAATCGTTGGTGGGAACCACCTTTCCCTCCACTGTGACCTAGCGGGCTGAAGAACCTGCAGGTATAGGTAAGTGACTACTTACTTACACCTGTATTTCGAGTCCCCACCATGTCCGCACCTTTATCAGAATACCAGTTACAACGTATCACACAACGATACGCGTGGATCCTATTTGAAGGGGGCCCCAGATTCGGGAACACTAGGACGAAGAAAGTAGGACACAGAGTAGAGAACTGTCTGGTTCTGGTTAACAAACGTGGATAATTCCTATAGAGCGTTTCCGAAAATCCGAAAAACTTCCGCGGTTTCACGTTCGGTTATCGCATCGTGCACTACTGAACTACAAGTATACAGTCGTTGTTTTTGCATAATAAATTTATTACCTTGAATTTTAAGCATTTACCTGTCGGTCAAAGATGTTAGTTAGTCGCTTTTGTTATACATTTAAAGAATTAGAAAATTTAATCGCGGGTACATTTTAAAATGTATCGGCAGTATAAAAGATTTACAAGTTCGCGATAGAAGCGGCGCTTACGAGTCTCGATAAACGCGGGTAAATTTATAATCGGAGTGAGGTCAGCGAATGGACGGACAAACGGATGCATCGATACAGTAATTTCTCAAGTTAGGACTGGCTCGTCTTCAAGGGCTGCGGCTCGTGAGAAGACGCATTCGTCTTGGAGGCCGCGTTCATTGAGTATTGATTTCCAATTCGGGTGGTGCTCAACGTGATACTAATAGGCGTCGCGTTCGAAAGCTGCTGTCGAACAGGGCATTGGCGATAGCCTGAAATTAGAAATGCGCGATTACATTAAACATGACCCGCAGTTACGCTAATGAACTGCTCAATCCTTCAACGATCCGGTTAGCTTTGCACTTTTTTCGTTTTGCTCTCGCGGCGATCTCGAGTAATGACAGCTGGGAGTTCCCGCTCGAGTGCAGTCGGTCGTAAAATAAAGAAGAAATGTTACACCGTGCGATACGCGTAGAAGAATTGGGTAGATAGAATGAGGCGTCTCATTTCTAGCAAAGCTCGTTTCTTAGCGATCGCATATTTTTTACGTTACGAAAATATGACTACCGGCGTGATGGGGGCCGGAACAATGACAGCATATAGGATTGTTCCGGGGCCTGGGACAGAACTCGACGCTGTGCGGTTCGCCGCACCGTACGCAACGCGGTAGGTGTCTGCAATTCGCAGCCATGTGCCAGAAACCCTGGCATCGATAACATTGTAACACGCCGTCCCCGGTTTGAAAGTTGGACGCCTCGAGGAAGTTGCTGACCATTCCCGGACCTGCCTGCAGCGGTCCACCGGCATTTCCGGTTCCTCCGCGCCACCAACGCTCGGGGATAGCGCTGAACCGAGCGGCGCCGAAAAAGTCCAAGCCTTGACGTAACAACAACTCGTAGTGTCCAGCGTCTAGTACCTGATCGGAATATTTTAAGCAATTCAGATTTAATCTTACGTATGGTATGATACAGTGTTCGTCTAAAAGAATTTTAAACCGAGTCCTTCAGCCATTTTTAATATCATTCAAATTAGTTATAATAATAATAATCACGTGACACCGAAGTGGCTTTTAACGAAGACTTGTTTATCGTCTCCATTTTTTTTTATCGCTATTTTATCAACAGTTTAGTGGCAATTACCTCGACGCGTACGTATTGCCGCCAGCGTTCTACGCTTCCTGCCGCGATGCCCTGCTTCGTCAGGGCAGAGTTGATATCCTGTAAGGGAATGGCCCAGGGTACGTCGCGAAGAAGGACCGCCTGTCTATAACGAGAGTCTTTCGCCGAGAATCGAGCCACCTGGTTCGATGAAAATTAATTCGCTTCGATTAACTTACGAAAAGTGAAGGAGTGGGTATGCGAAAAATTTCAGATTGCGTTTTCTGAAAGTAATCAGAGATTCAACGGAGTTGTACAAATAGAGAAAGCTGGTAGGAAAGCGGTCTATCACGGTATGAGGTAACACCCATATTTACACTTGTCGTTTAGTCGTTTCTCGGGACCCGCGGTAAATCGATAATGTAACATGTGTCGAACTCGTTTTGTACTTTCCAATAATATTTGTATCGTTCACTTCCATAAAGAAGGCGCTTTGATCACGTTCTTGAGTGCCTTTTTCATATATAGAAATGAATGATACTCGTTACGTCAATCTGAGATGGATTAAAATAAATCAAGGAATGTACTTGTACTGGCCCTTCGAAAACACGTGCCAAATCTACGCGCTGCAACAGCTTCTCGGCGTCAGCTTCACGCGCGAATGCCGCGATTAAACCGCAAGGAGTTTCAGATACCAGCCAGGTTGCCAAGGGGTCAGACGCACGGATCACCTCTTCCAAGTTCGAACGTACCAATTCGCCACCTGTACATGAAACAACTATTTCTCGAGCACACGCAAGAAGGAACTTTCTCAAATCTACTGATAAATGATGCAACTAATTGTTTATCACGATTGCGTAATTGTTGACTTGTTTGCATCGTGAGAGAATTTAACACGCGGGCTTTGTATCTTACGCGCTTACGCAATCGTGGAGCTCGATTAATAGACAATTTTCCACCTTGTATCCCATGCACTTGGCCTTGAGGCCCGACGGCACGCGAGATGTACAAAGAACACGTGAATTCTTCCTGACCGGAAGCACGTGGCTGACCGTTGCGAACATCGTCCGACGAGGTATTCGGCCTCGCAAGAACGATCTGCATATTTAACGCCTCGGCCTTTTTATCCTCCTGCGGGGATTCCTCCTCCATCCTGTGCACGTTGTGCACCATCTAACGCACCCCTAAAATCAATTTTTTCCCACAAAATCGGCATCAACGAATACTGGGTTTCCTTCATTTTATAATATTCCTGTCTAGACATCGTGACTGCAAATCGATTCGGAGCTTTTACGAAGTTTAGCACCGGTTGTACAAAAGTTTGCAATAGAACGCAAGGTTATAATTTCATATCTTCTAACATGTCATATGTTTAATAAAATCAGAGAAAATAGAAAAGGTAGACCAAGAGATTGAATCCAATATTCGGCTGTCTGTTCACCGAATCGAAACACTCGTTCAAGCGTGATATACGCGTGGTTCGCGGTACGATTAAAAAAACCCACGATTTGACATTCAAACTTTCACAACCGATGCTGGCACGCGTACCGATTTCCTTTTCTTTGCGCGCACCGATTACCGTTTTTTAACCACTTTATACGCATATTGTGTGTCAGAGATATAACAGTGTATCAACGAATCACCTTAGACGTTTCTTCGGCTGGTTGTATCTTCGGAAAAGGAAGCCTGGGCCAAAGAAGACATGGCCCAATGCTGGTGCCATTAATCAGCCTCTTTCACGATTACACCGATTCTCTTTTTTCTGAACTATCGATGTATATTTATTATTGCCACGCGTTCTAACCGATGATATTGTCCTCATAATTTTGAAAACTTCGGCCATTCAGCATATGTACCACGCATAGTATATTCAGTTTTAAATTGCTAGGTGTTCCTGCAGATTTTTCCTTAGTAATTAACAAATACGTTAATAAGATAAGATCATGAAATCGCTGTAGCTTACGCACACGTGACTAGGAATGAAAAAAATTCCTGTTTCATATGTTTGCGCGTTCTGAACTAACTCTAACCGCGCGAGTGGGGGAGTTGTCAATGGTCGTCTGTGTCGGTACGGTCCTTTGTTAGTCGTCGAAACATCATCACGGATCACGCTAAGTGTATGCGCACGAAGCGCGGCTGTGTGGGCGTTCGTGTTTGTGATTCGTGATTATCGAACGAACGTAGGAAAATGGCTGAAATACATAATCCACCGGTGTTTTCCCCAAAAACTCTGTATCAGCTAAGTGTATTGGCGGCCACGAACAAGTTTTTACGCCTGAGAAACTGCTTGTATGACCTGCCCAACGATGTGCTCTTCGACATTTATTATCAGGTACTTAAAGGTCGGAACATCTCGTCGTTGTCGAACGATGTCTCATAGCGTGATAGACGTACAATTTTTTTTAACTTAACCGTGAATCCGTCCTCTCACGGAGTCGCCTTTCGCGAACGTGTAATTCGTATACCTTTGACCATCTCTGTTCTTATCTGAATGGATCGTTGCCGTTTCACGGAGTGATTGACACGCTCGTGAAAATTATAACAGTACATCGTGACAACTAATCCGCCTGTATTTTTACTCTGAAGATAAATTCAACGATAATGTACGATGAACTTGTTTTCCATTTGTTATATAGTTGTACAAAGAGAAACGATTATATTTACTGGGGATCGATCTCCGAAATCCGAAAATTTTTTCCCGAATGTTGACGGTCACTAACCGGAGAGTTCATCTATTACAATGTTTTCAGGTAATGCCTCATTCATGTACAACGACATGAATTATTATTTACTTACATTTTATCGCTTTCTAGGGCCTTATAGAAGACGGAGTGCGGATCGAAATAGATTTAAGCTGTAGTTATATAGCGTGTTGCCTTGATAATGAAAATACAGCTGCTCAAGATAAATTAATAGAGCTAGGTTTAAAACTTGGTAGGTTTCTCAGTGATGCTGGTTGGTACGCGAAAAGCGAAGAGATATTGTTAGCATGTAAAAACTTATGTCTTGCAAACAATTCGACGCCAGATCAATGGTACAGGACATTAGAGTGTTACCGCAGGTAAAATCCATTTATTGATTCGACGTTCATGTTTAGAATTCTGTTACTATAATTGTCTATAATTAGCACATAAAAATTCAGGTTGTTGCATGTCCAAACGACATACTGCCTGTTTTTGCAAGCAACGGAAACGCAACAGCTTGCACTAGAACTTTTAGAACGATTAAAAGAGACAGGGCAAGGTGATTATAATTTCGCCGCTATATATACCGAATTTAGTAATTTCTTCTGCAAGAAAAATGAATACGACAAGGCTTACAGGTACACAGCTCGAATTATTTCTCGAATGAATTCATCAGCATCTTCACTGTTGCTTTTTACTTAATCTTCAGATGGAGTATAGAAGCACTGAAACAGCTGAAGTCTTCACTGTCTGCACGTATTACCGTTGACGTTTTAAGACATGCAGCGAAATCGTGCGCACTAAAACGCGAGTTTCAAAGAGGCGGACTGTTGATTAGACAAGCTGTGTACCTCGCTAAGGCAGTATTTGGTATAGACCATCCCGTGTACAGTAATGTTCTTGTAGATTATGCATTTTATTGGTTAAATTTTGATAACATTATTAACAGCATAAATCTTTATAAGGTTCGTATACAGATTCCAATTGATTTATGTTTATTCGTCGTCTTAATCATTTATTTATTTATATATTTTCAGGATGCATTAGCTATTAGAACGGAAATATTTGGTGACATGAATCTTCATGTCGCATTGGCACACGAGGATTTAGCTTACGCTCTTTACGTGTACGAATATAGTTCCGGTATCTTTCCCGAAGCAAGGTAAGTGATTCCATATAACGCGTCGCTTCTGAAAATGTCAGAAAGTCATACAATTTTATTTCACTTTAAATAAACAGAGTTCACATTGAGAAAGCAATAAATATAATGTTAAAACTTTTAAATGGGCATCATTTGTTGTTAGCGAGCGCAAAACGAATAAATGCATTAATCCTTGAAGAAATAGCGTTAGGTAGTACGTTGTCGACCTTATCGAAACAGAACCTACTCTTCAAGGCAGAATACCTACATTTGTTTGCTTTGCAATTGGCTAAAGATGCATTCGGCGAAAGAAATATACAAACAGCAAAGCAATACGGAAACTTGGGGCGCGTGTATCAGAGCATGGGGAAATGTAAGGTACATATTCCACGTGAATACAGAGTATCCGATTGTTTATTAGCTTCTTCGTGGTCAGTGAATAACCGGATACTCTGTATATAAGTAAAACCCGCAACGTTTCTTCGATGTACTAAATGTTCATTTCAGGAAGCTGAGTCGATGCACCTTAAAGCTATAAGAATCAAAGAAGAATTATTAGGATCAGACGATTACGAAGTTGGTTTGAGCGTAGGTCACTTGGCTTCGCTGTATAATTATCACATGAACCGATACAGAGATGCAGAAAAACTTTATTACAGAAGTATCAAAATTTGTAAGTGTCACAATAATACGATCGAATTGTGTTATCTGTTTTTAACGAAATTTTTAACGTGCTAGATTTAAAATGGTTTGGTGAAAGCTACAGTGGCCTTGAATACGACTATCACGGTCTCTTAAACGTTTATACGAAATTGAACGAGTCTGACAAAGTTCACGAGTACGAAGTAATTTTTAACAAGTGGAGGTTGTTGAGAAGTAAGCATTTACAGTCAGAGGAACCGACCATCGATCCTAAAAGATTGCCACAACCGATCAAAGAAGTAATCGAGAGATTTTTTTCTATGTAATATACATGTACATTAATTTTTTATCGATCACTGACTCGCCGACTTTACTTACAATTGATTTTTATTTCTTCGTTGAGGTGACTCGAGCCAAAGCATAAATGAAATCTCGAATTGCATTATTTGATACTGTGATAAGGTATCAATCATATATTCTTTGGTTATGTCGTAAACGTTCTTTAAATGTGGTCACATGAATTTTTTCATGTCTCTTCTTTGTACCTCACCATTTTGTATGTATTAATTACATTTCCAACTAGTTTTTAGCAAGAAATTGATAACAATTAAGTTGAATATCTCGGTAAGAAGAGATAACAAATTGCCAGATACTGAACGATCTGTTAAATACACAAATCTAGTGGTATCAAACATGTGATATAGTTACTTTCTACTGAATATGTTGTTCCTGTACAAACATTTTAATAAACAACAGATCAAAATGAAGTGAATGGATTTCGAAGTAATTAGCGGAGAAAAAAGACGGTATTACAGGATTATGTACAGACATCGTGCAGTGGAAATAAATATAGAAGTGAATTCCCCCTTTTTTTCTCGATACGAGGAATCAGAAACTAATGGTAATTAATGAAATTTATATGTTATTTCTATTGTACGAGGCTCATTTTAATAATGTAAATAACAAGATAGTAGATAAATATTCATAATTTTCGAATAACTCACGTACATTCAAAAGCTTTAATCTTTTAAATTACAATAAACATTAAGTAGTACATAATTTGTATTTACACGATATTTATTTTATCACTCCAGTTGTCAGGTAATAGGAATCGTATCTATTTAGCTCCCTCTCGTACTAATAGCATCTCTACATCTTCCTAAAAGTAATTGACATACATTTTTCAATCGAAGTTACTTTCCCAATGTCTCCTTACAATTTATCAACGTGATTAAATTACCAAATTGATATTGCACATCTTGTTGGACTGATCTCTTTAGAATATTTAGTCAGGTGTGTGTGGTGGTTCTTGGCTAAAATACGGTGCTGTGTCTTGCACCAATAAAGTATGGCAAACATCACAGACTCTGGATGGTCTTTGTTTCGGTCCACTTTTCACAACGTGTGAGAGGCAAGACTGACAAAATATATGGCCACAATGACGACAATGTACCTGTATAAAGACAGTTTTATATCAACGCACAGATCATAAATCTGACCTCCTCTCCGTCAGTGAAATTCCATGTTAATCACCTTTTTTCTTGTAACTGTAAAAGCAGTATGACAACTGGGACATTCTTCTACATCCTCCTCGTGTTGCCATCTGACTTCACTACCAGCTTGCCTGATTCTCTCCAGTTGTACCTAGAAATTGATCGCAGCGTTGAAATTGACATACTTCTCACCCAAGATTACTTATTTCCTTTGCTGGCTATACCTGCAATGATTGTGACAACCTAACAAAGTCTTTCTGGACTGCTTCGCTGGTATCTAGTTCCTGTTGAAGACTCGTCACTCTTTGCCGTAATTCGGCCACTTTCAACTCGGCCTCTTTATTTTCTTTTAACACGACATCCAGTTGTTTCTCCAAACGTTCGAGCTTCTCTTCTCTTTCGGCAAGAGTTCGATGATCTCTGACATATTTATCTAACTGTGTTCTGTAAAACATTAACATTACGTCCAAGAAATTTACTAAAATGCTCTAACATTATGAAATTACACTGTATTACCCTAAACCGCTAATTTCATTCTTCAACTCCAGTATTTCTTGTTCCTTTACTCTATTTTCCTGTTCCATTTGTTCGTGGAGCAAGGTCACTTCGTATCGTAAAATTACTTCCTTTTCCTGCGCAACCTCCTGTGCAACTTTAGCAGTGATCAAATCTTCTCGCATTTTCAAAAGGCTAACGTGCAATTCCTCGACATTGTTCGGCATATTAATACTCTCACTCTGCAGTTGCTGGGAATGCTTGCTATGTTTGCCAACAAGATTCTCATTTTCCTTTTGCAGTCTGCAAAGATTCGACTAGATTTTCAATAAAATTTTGTCAGGAATACCATGACAAAAGGAGCAACTTTGGTCACATTGAAAATAGAACGAATGGCAAAACAGAACCAAGGATATTACTGAAAATGTTCTTACGCTATAAGATGTTTTTGTACTTCCTCCCGGCGTCGTGTTAATTTAACAAGTTCATCTTTCGCATTCCTCTGTACCAGTTCGAAAGCTCTTTTCAATTCAGTTAAAGTTTGTTGCAACGTTTGCGAGGTAGAGGTTAATTCTGCGACTTTGATTTTATGCTCCTCTTTCTTTTCGTTCCACTTCTCTTCCATTTCTTTACGAAACTCCACTTCCTTGGCTAAATCTTCCTTCTGCACTTGCAGCATACGTTCCGAGTCTAACAACTGTTTCTCCAAATCTTTAGCAGTTGCCTGTATTTTAACTAACTGCGCTTCGTAATTAGCGCACATATCACAAGCCGGCTCAGATGAACCTGGTTCTTGTTGTCTCCTCTGTAGTTGAGCTTCCTTACACTTCTGTAATTCGTCGTCGGTCGCCCTTAGCTTCTCTTTTAAAGCTTTAATTTCTTCTTCCAGTGGTACTACTAACGATCGTAAAACTTCCGCATCCTCCTGTGCCTGCAAATCAATATTCTCTAGTGTTCGCATAGAATACGTAAAACTCGTAAGGAAAGAAAAAAACCAAGCGATAAAATAAACACCTCATGATGATGTGTTTGAATGATTAATGAACACTTTCTGAAATGTAGTGCCACTCTATAAATTCATTGCAGAAAAGTTCAAAAATCATGTACTGTTATGCTTACGTACATATCTTTTTACCTTCCTCATGCTCTCTTCGAGATTGTCAGGGCCTAAAGACAGAGCATCTGCACCTAGTTGTGAGACTACTTTTCGAGCTATCGTTTTCGTAACAGTGGAGAGAGATATCTGTGGGCCATCTAAAGGTGGATCTCTTGGCAATTGCGATTTTAACAATACATTTTCCTCTTGTAACTTGGAAAGAGTCATTTTTAATTTAGCTACTTCTGCATCTAACTGTTTGCGCGAACATGAAGATTCTTCCACGGTCTCATGTATAACCCTCTGTAAAGAGGCTATTTCTTCCTGCGCTTTCCTCTTTTCAATAAGCATATCATTCTGAATTTTCAAGTCCGCGACGACTATCTGACTCTTTGCCTCATCCAATTCATTTTTCAATTTGGCATTCTCTTTTTGTAAATTTGTATTATCTTGTAACCTTCTTTTTAACTCTTCTATAGATAAAATGTTCATATACTAATGCATGATCAAACCTGTTCTTCTTCCAATTATTATGGTCGTTAATACAGGTTAAATTTACCTTCTTTTTGGAGAAACAATTCCTTCATCTTGGCTCTTTGCACATTGAATTCCTCTCGCATTTTAACATTTTCTGATTCCAACCTGTTTATCTTCTCCTGTAGATCCTCTAAATTGCAAGGAACAGTTGGTAAAATTCAAGAAATAATATTTTAATGCCGATAGATCAATGATCGTGTTTATGATGAACGGAATAATTACTGTTCACGAAAACAAGATCAGAGTTTGATCCCGAGTTGATCGAAGTTAACCAAAGTGCGGATGAATAATATGATGCGAAGGGAAAAAATTGACGAAAGCGTTATTAGATGTGACGTACCGCTTCCGTTCATGTTGATCGTTTTATCTTCAGTATGGTTCTCCATCGTTCGATGATTTCGCGTGACTAAACTGAATTTTGTTAGGGTGGGTCACTGTCTTTCGTATAAGACAGGGAAATGTACCTTGCAACTCCTCTCGGCCGTTCCTTTTGATGACATTATGGCACGTGTGCCAGGAGCAGCTTTTACATTTCACTGACATTCATTCTAAGAACGAGGCAAGAATCACGTATACGCGGTTGGCCACGCAAAACAAAATACCTCTCTCGCCGAAACGAATAAAATCAACCTCAACAATTTAGCGGTGTCTACTCAGAGCGCAGCGGTACACATTATCCAACATTATCAGCACTTCCTCATCGGTATCGATATTTTGAACGGTGCACACTCGATAATCGAGTGCTCAGAATCGATCTACTTAATTCTCTCGTTTGACCGTTATTTCAAAAATATACGCGGCACCGTTGCAATTTACCGTAAATCAATAATATTTTCGATCGTTACACGTTGACGTAGCACAACGTCAACGCGCGTTTCTTTAACATTTGATTTACTTACATAATAAAGACCAGAAAACGTTGTATTCTGTGTTATGTAAAATACAATCTAATTACAAGGCACTCGACAGCTATACGTACATTTTCGGTTCATACATTACATCGAGTGTAGTCATTAGAAATTGTGTTCTAATCATCACCGTACGATTTATATCAGTAGATGGAATTGATTTTTATTTTATACGTATACATATAATAACATATATTACCCTTATGCCGCATTAGGAACCTGAAGTTAGCCTTTTTGAAGTTTCAGAAGATAATTGTTATACCTGCTTATTTCATGTAGTTGATGTTTAATATTTACTAACGATAACGACGTGAACAGAAGATGAACAAGCGAAATCGCGGAATGTGTGCGTAAGTATATATAAATCCATATTTATTTCTTATTGTTTCTCCGGGAACAACAAATACACAAACAGTTGAAGTATTTGTTAAATCATTTCATTTAGTAATGATTCATTCAATTTTATTTCTCAGTTTTATCAGCAGGGAGATTAAAAATAATATTTACTGATGAGATTTAAATGTTTCCTGTCAAAGTTCATCTCTCCCGAAGATAGGGCAAGAAATCCTTCACGACGGTAGTGGAGATTTCGTGCCCCATCGCTGATCTATCCCCTCCTTTTTAAATGAACACATTGTGATTCGTGTTATTACCAGTTATTAGGCTCAATTACGTTTCGAAAACTGAACAAAAGAATCACACGTAAAAAATCGATCAACGAGAAAACGTTAGTGTTTCTCAAACAGTCGTGAATTCTCGGTAGAAACGCCAGATCCGACAACAGATAAAGTGGACGTAACGGCCGTAACGCGCGCGCGGTATCATTATCAGAAATTGTGTGTTTAATGACGCTCCGTAATCCGCACACACACATGATCAAGCGAAGAAACAGTTGAAACACAGTTTCTGGATAGAGAAAAGATCATGAAACTTTAGCCTTGAAGTCACTTTCATTACGAATCAAGTCGATCCTTTAGAGTTGCGTTTTGGAATTGACACCGATAGCCTGCACATGGCATCGAGTCGCTCGTAATGGAGATGTTCCCGTGTTCGACGATCGGTTAACAATTCGAGATCATTGAAAATTTCTGATTCATGTCGAAAATCTTCGATCAAGCATGGCTATGCAGTTACGTTGACCAAATCTGGATGGCCGATCCCTTCGAAAGGTAAGGTCGCCATGTCCACTAGAAAACTCGACAGAAGTCAATTTGCGCAGTTATAACTGCGGTCAGAGAATTGCATCAACAATGACAATTTTCTCTACTGGTTAGTCATCGCCGCGTAATACGTTACATACTTAATAACTCCTCGCTATGTTGCAAACTGCGTCAAGTTTCGTTGATAGATCGTTTGTTTCTTTTATTTACCATGTAGGCCACCGATAAAGTGCGGTTAGTCACTGCCTATTTGTATTTTCATTTCGTAATGAGCAACAGTTAATTCGCATTTAGTAAGAAAGTATCATTACTGATGTTTTAGGACTGACGTTATTAAATTACAACATGAGTACGCTATCGAGGGACTGTAAATTGGAAGCAACTGGACCAGCTATAATGCAGAGCCTGGATAGTATGCGTATTTGTGATATGGATGATTCCAACCAAGATATTGTCTCCTTAGATGGGAACTCCGAAAATAGAATACATGTGGAATGTCAGTGCAACAAGTTTGGAAGTTTTTTATTGATAGATGGGCAGGAGCATCTTAAAGTTTCAAGTGCTGAACAGTTTGTGCAAAAATTGAATTATAAAAATAGAAATCTCAAAGTAAAAGTAGTATCAATTTTTGGAATCACTGGAGACGGAAAGAGTCATACTTTGAATAAGACGTTTTTCGAAGGACGGCAAGTGTTTAAGACATCGAATGATCAAAATTCGTGTACATTAGGTGTTTGGGCTGCCCTTGACCCTGTTCTTAATGTGATATGTCTGGATACAGAAGGCTTATTAGGTACAACCATGTTCACCTATTTGTAGTATTGTAGAGATTTTTCTCTTATTCAATATATTTATTCTTTGCCAGGTGTTACCTCACATAAAAATGAACGAATACGATTGTTGCTCAAAGTTCTCGCTGTATCTGATGTTGTTATATACAGGACGCAATCCGAAAAATTAAATACAGATTTATTTACATTTCTCGGCACTGCTTCGAGAGCATACAGCCATCATTTTCAAGCTGCCCTGCAAGCAGTGGGACATCGAGAAGGAGTTCAAGGATCCTTGAGTTCTCTGGGACCAAGTGTTATAGTATTACATGAGACTAGATACACCATACCTCTGACCAACAGTACATATTGTCAAATTCTCAGATTAAGAGTAATTACAAAGTAAAATTTCACGTGTAAATGAAAACGCATTGTTTCCATAACGAATGTATTTTCCTCCTGTTGCAGATAGTCTAGAAAACGTGGAAGACGTGCTCAGAGCACGGTTTGTTCAACTGAAACTCGAAACGGAAGCATTTAGTTCTATAAAATACGTCGGCATACACACGAAAAATTCTGCGACTAACTACGAACGTCTACGGACCGCTGTTAAAAGAGAATTGTATAATAATAATATACGATCTCCTAGGAAGCCGCACGTAGTATACAACACGTTGAAAGTTCTAAACGAGACGTTTATTGGAGAGCTAGATAATGCCTCTAATGTATTGTTTCCTGATCAATACTTCACCTGTCCTGCAAAGTGTCTCAGCTGTGGATCTAGGTGCTGCAACAGCATGGGGCATCTAGAGGGTAAACCACATAGTAGCAATAGCAAGTTAGTCAAAATTCTATTAACAATTTTATATCTATACACGTAGACATACCTAAGCATCTAAAAAAATTTATGAATTTTATTAGATGCCGATATCAGAATCAGTATGATAATGTAACGTATATATGTAAAAAATGTTATAATGACGGAAATGAAGTACAAATGAGACGCGTTCAAAATCAGAATGATAATAGTTGGTATGGTTTAGTTAAGTATGCGTGGTCAGGAGATGTGATTGAGTGTCCACATTGCGGAGAGATGAGTCGTCAGTATTGGTACAGTAACAAAGATCCAGAAGATTTTGCTGTTCGCACAGAGATCACGCACGTATGGAGTACGGTACGCTGATGTGTCTTTCATAAGTATGTGTGTCCGAAACGAAGGCAATTACAAATAAAATTGTGTACCTTTTTAGGCAAATAATGCTGCAACGCAGCACAATACAGCGCAAAGGGTAGTCGATAGTGTATCGTATATTACCGAGGCTGTGACCAATGTTTCTTTGCAACCAACGAAAGTAGTTTCAGCGTGGGTCGCGGATAAGGTCGCCCCGTCTTATTGGAGACCGAATAATGAAATAAAGCACTGTCACAAATGTAGAACGCCATTCGGGTTGACCGACACGAAACACCACTGCCGAGCGTGCGGTGAAGGTTTCTGCGGAGAGTGTTCGTCCAAAACTAAGTGCGTCCCGTCTAGAAATTGGCATACACCTGTACGAGTTTGTGATACCTGTTACGACAAGAACGAGCCTACCGAGTCTTCGGAAGATGTTAATGCGAGAAAAGTATCTGAACAAGTAATCTCTACTCTCAGCGCAGTTGGTACCGTTTTGAACTACTCGAAAAGTAAGATGATATGTACCTATGAATATATCTAGTAGCATTAATATTCATATTAATATTGGGGTTTCTATTCTGTGTCTAGCATTCATTAAAGATACAGTTCGGCCATCTTACTGGATCCCCGACTCGGAGATTGTTAATTGCCACATATGCAAGCAAAACTTTTCAGTATCGCTTCCTCTACATCATTGCAGAAATTGTGGACACGGTGTATGTCATAACTGCTCACTAAATCGAAAGCCCGTACCGCACAGGGGATGGGATGAACCAGTTCGCGTGTGCGATTCGTGCGTTAACGTCGCATAAGAAACATTTCGGACAATCTTGATAGAAAAGATACTGATTCTTTTGCCTAACACATACTACAGAATTGGATACTTGGGCGATTTAAAAAGTGTTTCCCAGTTTTTGTACAAATTACTTATATTCATATTCATAATGTCTGTGTAACTTCTATTCGAAATATTGAAATTCTCTGTTACTGATACGAACTAAAACTATGATTTATTTGTGTAAAAAGCTTTTCCTGTGAATAGTGCCATCAGTGTATCTACGTTTTCTGTGAACAGACGTTGCAGAGCGATGACGGTAAATGAACATTGACAGAAGAACAGAATGAATACACATACGATTAAGAAAACAATAGTTAAAATTACGATGTCATAGTAATATATAGTACATGGTGCAGTATATCATAGCGTTATGTATAAAATAATGTACAAAATCTTATCGGCGAAAGGAGTCGATTTCTAATCAGCATCACATTCTATCGAGCTGTGAATGTTTCTGAATTCCAAAAAAGCATTTGTTATTTTATGATAGTACTCAATGTCTGCTACATTTTCTAATCTAAGAAATGAAACTTCATCCAAGTAAGGAATACTGTAATAAGTATGAAAAAAGAATAAACGATAAACTGTCGAGATGTTTAAATAAAATACCTATTGAGTTGAGCTCTACTTCTGCAGTATCAAAAATATTAGCCGTTTCGCGAGAATTTAATTTTCACGTGTGCTAATTAAAATATGCGATTAATCGATGTTCGAGATACGATATGTATAAGATGCCTTTCGGTAACCACGTGATGACGTCAAAATATGGCGTCTCAATCAGCTGGGTGTTGTGCAGAGTGTGCTTGAGATGCTCGTCTTTAGAAAATCAACGAAGACTGCCGTCTGTCTACTCGAATACGTGAGTTCTTTCAAAAAGCCTGTACTATTTAATTCGTCGTGTTCGCAGTTCAATTATAAACTCTACGTGTATAACGACAGGTTACAAATGGCACGGTAGAAAACAGGAAGACGCAAAACGCTGTTTCATTTCTTAAATCATACCGATTTAGTTTTGATCATGGTGCTTCAAGCGAATTGAGAACACCCTCGGCGTGTTAAGCGAGACGATTATTAATTCATGAAGTCGCGTGAAAAGTATTCCATTCTGTTTAAATTTAACGCACCGAAAGATGACGCGTATGTAAAAATACATAAAATATGGTCGGTGGAAGAGCTTCGTGAACGCGTTCGAATTTGGGCCTCCTAGCGCGTTTTATCATTTTCTCATAGTATTCTTAAACGTTATGCAAGTTCTCTAGACGAAACACGATGTACACGGCGTGCGAGCAGATGCCGAGGCCATTTTCATGTTTGCTCCAGTTTCGTAATCATTATCAACTCCATATTTGAATTCAACAAGTAATGCAGTGGCATGTTTCTCTGGTTCCCGAATTTCTGCCGTCTCTTCACGTGTTCATGTTCCATCGATGACCTGCTTATATTTGTTGCAACATTCCTTAACGCGCAATGATACAGGAAGATCATGATCGTAAGTGCGAAGTGCATTTTCTCAGAATGTGACACGTCTCTGAAAATTCTGTTTATCGCGTGATCCACGTATGTATCTACTGGCTGATTTTCTCTGGACGTTTTTTCGTACTATCTGCGCGTAAAAGGAAACCACGAATTTCGGTAAACGTTCGCGAAACTAGTTTGGCTACAACTGCGTGTTGATAAGAGCGAGAAACGTGTTAAGAAGCGGGCTACGGCAAGTAGACGCCATTTTTTTCGAAAACGGTTTAAAAGTACATTATCGGTGCGAAGAATTCTATAAAACGGCACGCGTAAGAAACAATTGAAAATCTATCGATTATTCTAAAGAGCACAGTGAAAGGTGACGAGAGATTCATCGATTTCTTCAAAGTTTATTTTCTACTGCAATGTGTTCTTAATGTTACGGCCATTTTGTCGCTTATTAGTGGATAAACAAATGACGATGTTGGTATGTACTTTGGTTTCGAGGCTAGAGGCGCGTCACATGCGCGGAAATTCAACTTTGCTGCCTACGCATCCCTTTTGTAATTATAGTAGGATTCCTATATGATACCAAAAATAGAAAACGAACCAATACTCGTCTTCAATTAAAACAAAATCTTTATGGTATTCTTCGCGCGGTTTTATGTTTACTTCGCAATAGTAAATAGTCGATGTTCTCGCGTCTGAAACTTTCGTTGCACTTGCTCTTCCAGAACGAATTTTGCACCGCGTTTTTACACGTAACTATTATTTTTATACATACGTAGATGTTCATTAGATTTCGCAACAGCGTACACTTGTTTCGTGAATGTTCTCGTTACTCTTCACTTTTCAATTTTAGCGAGTAACAAAATAAAGACTCGCTCGTTTCACGAGAGTGACGTTATTTTCATGATTAGGGAGCTCTCGCTCCCGTTGATCGCGGAATGATTTTTATTTAATCGAACCTTGAAATTGTCATCAAAAATCACGAAATATGTAATAATCTTTACTTTTCAGTGACGAAGAAGGTCCTTGACACAATATGCCACCAGATAGACCTGATGCATCGGATGTTGAAGTAGGATTAAACAACGCGCAAGTTTTCAATTTTAGAGAAACAGTATACACAATGAAAGAAAAAGAAAAAGAGAATACAAGTAGTTATATAGAAGGAAATTCAACCGACGACCTCTCCATGTCCGAAAAATTAATTGAAAAAAATAGCCAGTCAGACGATGATCTGACCTCTTTAAGTTGGCTTCATCAGCAGAATCTATTGAAGGGTTTGGACATTTCAAACCCTAAAGCGATGAAAAATGAAAATGTTTTAAATAACAATGTGTGCGACGACATGGCAGATTTTTCCGAGAACACTAATTCTGTGTCAAGCTTAGATGATGGTTATTGTCCAGGTAACTAGCGTCTTTCTCGATCAATTATTTAAACTCTAATCCAATGTCATTTCCTTCATTTTTTTATTATCACAGCAGATAATAACATCAAGATAAACAATACGGCGTCGCATGGTAATAGTCAAAACTATCAGCATTCGAATAAAAATGGTCAAAAATCAATACAAATCTTTCAGGAGTCGGTAAAAAATCATTACAATACATCACAGAACAGTCAGGCGAAGATATCTTTGAACAACAATAATCTGCCAGTCTCAAATCGCAATAAACACCCAACTCATATACCATATGATCCTCATTTGCATAGAAACAGTAAACCACCATATTCATTCTCTTGTTTAATTTTCATGGCTATTGAAGATAGCCCTGTAAAAGCTCTACCAGTCAAGGAAGTGTATGCTTGGATTTTGGATCACTTTCCGTATTTTAGGAATGCTCCGACTGGATGGAAAAATTCTGTTAGACATAACTTAAGCCTGAATAAGTGTTTCCGTAAAGTAGAGAAGGCGCCAGTAAGTTTCACATTTGTCATAGTACGATCGATCGAGAAAGATTGTATCCCGTCTTAGGGTTAACATTGTAGTGAAAATTCCTTCCGTTCTAGAATTTGGGCAAGGGTTCATTGTGGATGGTAGATTCCCAATATCGTCCGAACCTGATACAAGCGTTGTCCCGTGCCCCCTTTCCTCCTCCCACTGCTCAAACTTTGTCTTCGCCCGAAAAGCAGCAAAAGAAGAGCACCAGTACACGCCTTCCAGATCCTATATTGTTTCCATACCTCTCCAAAAGACTGGCATCGAGTAACATTACCGAAAACACGGACACGGAAGTAGATAGCGACGTAGACGCAGCTGCAGCTGCTATGCTTTCTTTTAAACATGGACCTATTATTTTAAACCACAATAAAGGCAAAGTATCTCCTCGTAAACCGATTACAATTCAATTTTCGAACAGAATATTTATTATCGTATCGAATTTTCACGTAGATCGCAAGAAGAAAGTACCGGAATCCGATGTGTTGGTTCCTGTAATTACTAGAAGCTCCAGCGAGGACCATACTTACAGTTGTATTACCTCAGTGAGGCAGGACAGGTAAGAGTATCATTAAGATTTTCTAAGTCTCTTCTGAAATTCGTTATTGCGCATTACGAATTCCTTATTTATCCCTGAAGCAAATATTCAAAGAAGGAAGCGAACGCCGACTCTGACGAGCAGCGGAAGATAGCAGAAGGTGCGGATGCGCTTTTGAACTTAGCGGGTGTCACCACACCGCCGAATCAGAGTAAGACACATCACGTACAAGGTATTAATTCAACGCCAAAGTCTGAAGGTACGTCGAAGATGAAGAAACGTTCCGCACCGAGCGATTACTCGAGCCCACCCGAGAAAAGGCGTAAGCATTGGCCAAAGTGGAGCGAAGGGAAACGGTATTTAAAGCAAATTATATAAGAAAGAATCTTGGTTTTACGTTTATACATGTAGCATGGCAAACTCCCTATTCTTCTTTTTTACATTCAAGCCCGAACTTGGCGAAATTCTATCACTAGTATCGGTTTTCGAAGCAGGAACTCGAAATTTTACATCGCTGACAATGAATATATCGTCTTTCGATTAAGACTAACGTTAGTAAAGATTTGCATCGAAGTTATCTCCATTCTTAGGCATGTAAGATGAAAGAGTGAGAAAAATGCAATATATTCTGCCGTGTTAAAAAAGGGGGAAAACTTTATCAGGTGCATTAAATGGAAAAAGGAGAGTAGAATTATGGGGGGTGATAGATCGTTATGAAGGACAAAGTAAAGGAAAAAAAAAAATTGGCGGTCGCTCAGGGTTTAGAACTCGCTATATGCCAAAATGAATTCATTAGCAGTAAGCAACAAGCAATAATAGGTGGATAGTGTAATTAAAAAGGAAGAGTTACTTTCCTGAACACGTTATTAATACGTGGACGCAATTACGAGCAGTTCATAGAATGTCAATGAACGAGAGACACTATCGTGTACTAAAACTGAAGTAATGATAAACTCTTTAGACCTATTGTGACAATTATACATATTAATTCATAGAGAGTTTAATTAATGATAATAGAGTTCTATATTAGGTTCTTTTGTAGATATGTATAGAAATATAATTAATATCTATTGTATATTCTATAGAGAAATTGATAATATATTTAAAAAAGATTATATATATATATATATATATATATGTATATACATATATATATTCATACACGTATACCTACACACGCTCATTCATTTACACTCGAGATATACCTGGTCATGTACGCAGCTGTATGTGTGCAAATTGCGTGCCGCAGAAACTATCAATAACTAAAAAGAACTCTATAAAAATCGAGACACAGTATATTAAGGATTTGAAATGAAAGAATGTTATCATTTCATGCCTTTTTCTACTCTCTTCGTGGCTTTTGAGATGACTTTGAACAGTGCTGTACATACGTAGATCCTTCAATGTATACAGAGACCAGTTTTGAGAAATTTTGTTAAAACATTAATAAATATATCATGACGCGAGTTGATATATGTATATTAATCGGGAAGAATATGTAAGGATATAAGAGAGGAGCGTCATCCTATTTTTATAGAAAAATAAAATAAAAAACAAATTTATATATATGTAATATAAAAAATGTTGTGAATACCTGATAAATAATGAAGATGTATATGACGGTAAAAGATATCAAATATTGATAAACTGGTCTTGTAAACATTGGTCGTAGTTCTATATAGAGAGAACGTATATTTTTACAGGGCACTGCCCGCGTGATAAAAGCTCTTCCTAATAATTGCTAAAAAAAGAAGGAGAAAGAGAAAGAAATATAGTTCATTAGCTTGAACCATTTACTAATCGTATCTTGTGTGACACTACAAATGCAGCATGGTAGCGCAGCCTCAGCAAAATATGCCATATATCGTAAAATCTTATTCGCGAGGGGGACGAGATGCATAATCATGATTTCGAACAGTGAGGCAGAGCTCGCGAAGAAAGCTTAGTCACCAATTTCTAAATGTGGCGAGTCGTTTGATCGGAGACGTTTCTAGTCTTACGATTGTACTATGTAAAAAGGGGGACGACATTGGTTGTTAGGTCGATAATATTTAAGCGTCATAGTGCGATTAAAGTTAAATTGTTACCTGCAACATACTTGTATGTTACTGCTGGCTCAGATACATTTCAAGCGTGAAACTTATTATTGTCGTTTATTAAGAAGGTGCAGTTTAGTTTAACTTATTAATACACTATATTGTCCAACGTTTACTATGTAATTATTTTCTTGAAGTGGGTCATCGTAATGATTTTAGTCAAGTACAGACCGTTACACTTGGAAGAACTATGCCAACACCGTATGAAACCTTTAGATGTTATCGATGTAAAAGGAAAGGATGTAGTTAAGGGAAGACACGCGATAAACGTAAAAGGGTATAAAATATCTGCAAGGCGCGCTGCCAAAATGTTTTATGTGATTGTAGCTGATCAGCTACAAAAGGGAGAATAGAATCCGAGAAACAAGTGGGTGGGAGGAAGAATGCCATGTTTATACGCGATCGAGGAAACATTTCAGTTTTTTTAAGAAAACGTATACAGTTTATGTAAATGTAAAAATGATTCTATTTAGTACGTACGTATTTGTAATATACATATTATATATATGTATAAATTACGCTTCGGAAGCGAGCAACGTGTTCAGTAATGGACACTCATTTTTTCGAAATTTGTATATGCACGAGCAAGACCAGTTCTTTTGTAGATTTTACGTTTTCTATTGTCTGTGATATTATTGCAAAAGTGAACACACATTGTTGCTGTTGTTGTTAATTATATTTTGGTAAAACAAAGATTTTAGAGCTTTATAAGTTTTATCGTTTAGAAGGGGAGAGAGAAAGAAAGAGAGATAGTGTTCCCGACACTTTTCTGATATTATATTAATTGGCATTCTTGCTGACACCTGAACATTCTGATCTAGATAGGAAAACTGGCATCTTTGAATTAGCAATATATATGATAAATATATAATTTTTACGATTGTAAAAAAGAACGTAAATCATACACGATAGTCATTGCATCGAGTATTCCTTACCGAGTATTTCAGTGGCATGCGTTGCGAAAATATCATTTCTCCGTTGTAACCGTTGTACGCATGCTTATTTAAATCGACATCGAATCGCCGTTTACATCATGTAACGAACAAGACCGGCTGATGCTGATAGAAAACATTGTTAACAGTTAAAATACCGAAAAGAAAAGTCAACTATGCGAAGCAAATTTTTCATTACATCACGACTAGCCACGGACAATCAAAATGTAACACGGTATTTAATTTGCTTCCAATACATGACATCGTGCCAAACGCAGAAAACATTTATTTTGAGGAACAGATGTTTATTTATA